AGAGAGAGAGAGAGAGAGAGAGAGAGAGAGAGAGAGAGAGAGAGAATTAAAGACCATGAGATTTGTAGATGGATACTTATGTAGACCCCGAATATCTCATTGACATTTCCATGTGTGCGGGCGTAGCCGCACTGGCTTTACTTGTTTTTTTCTGAAAAGTCGCATCAGCGTATTACCGGAAATGGAACAGATTCATGCATGCTTTTCTGCTGGTATGTGGCATGGAATGCTATCCTTAGTCGAGTTACGCTGCATCATGGGGAGGCCTGTTGCTGTGCTGGGGCAAAATCTGCAGAAGAGGAGGCATGCGTGCACTGTAAAACAACAACAACAACAACAACAACGGAAGGAGGGAGAGGGGAGGGGAGGGGGAAGGAAAGAAAAGAAGGGGGCGCAAGGGGGTTCTGCAGTAAGTGCGGTGCATGCGTGGTTGGTGCTGAGTTTGTGAAAAGCCTTGGTGGATCACTGCTTGGCACCAGTTTAGGGGCCTCGCTTTATTATGCAACAATTGAAACGCATCTGGATCTGGTGATGGTCCCAGTACATTTGGAATGCTCCATCAGTCCAAATGTATATGGTACCAAAACAGTCCAGATACGTGTCAAATGCCGAGTACTGGAGCAAGGCCCTAGGTATGCTTTGCTTGGGTGGTGTATCTGGACGCTGCAACTTCCCCCCCCTTCCCCCCACTCCCTGCCCGATGGGAGATGGGCCGTGCGCACAGTGCAATACGAAGGCAACTCTGAAGGGACGGAGCAGGTATGCCTACACTAATGGCCCCTCCGTAGCCCTGCAAATTTAATTTAATGGCCCCTGCGTAGCCCTGAAAAATTAAGTTACTGGCCCCTCCGTAGCCCTTTTATATCATGTGGCCTGATGGGCCACGGATCAGATATTAAACTGATCAGAACAGATACAATGCACTTGATCTATTTTTAGCCAAAGGCACAGAAAAGTATTGGACACTGCAACTTTTTTTTTTTTTGTTCCGAAGTACTTGTTACTGATTCTTGGCCCACGGAAAAGCAGGAAATGCCTGGCCTCTCTGTTTTTTTTAACAGGGACCCTCCCTGGCCCTTGCCCGGCCGGGCCGCCCGGGAAACCGAGGTGACCTGGGTGGCCGGGTTGGTAACGCGGGTTAAATTATAAAAGTAATAATAAAAAAAATTCAATGAGACCACCATGCATGGAACGCTCGAACACAAGTGTCGCATCACACACACATATGACACGCAGTGACGCAGGAGATATGGAGTCCAAAATAAGGGAGTCTACGTAGCCAACACCAAAATGTAGCTGTTTCCTTCGTCACCGGCGGCTATGGCAGCTCAACTCAACATGCAGGTAAGTCTCTCTCTTCTTCCTGTCCCATGTCACTCTGTCTCTCTCTCGTTTACTCTCACCCTCAGTCCTCACTCGTCTTCCAGAATGTCTTCCTCTCTCTCTCTCTCTCTCTCTCTCTCTCTCTCTCTCTCTCTCTC